CAAAATAAACAAGTGAGACTACAGCAGTTGTTGGAGGAAAAAGAAAAGAAACAAGAAGAGAAATTAGCATCAGTGGCAAGAAAATCTGCAACAGTGGCAGCTCGAACAGCAAAATAAACAAGTGAGACTACAGCAGTTGTTGGAGGAAAAAGAAAAGAAACAAGAAGAGAGATTACAGCAGTGGCAAGAAAATCTGCAACAGTGGCAGCTCGAACAGCAAAATAAACAAGAGAGACTACAGCAGTTGTTGGAGGAAAAAAAAAGAAAGAAGAACGGGAAAATAAATAAGTAGAAAGACTACAGCAGTGGTTGGAGGAGAAAGAAAATAAACAAAAAGAACGAGAAAAGAAACAAAAAGAAAGTCTCCAACAATTGAGAGAAAGCCAGCATACACAAATGGAAAAGATTAGTAAATTTCAAAGTGAATTAGATACATTAAAGGACGATTTACTGTCCTTTACACAGGGAGGATATATTAACCATGGACCTGATCAGCCCCAGACAACAGGAAGCACCTTCCAGACCCCGCAGCTAAACCCTAATGCAGACATCTTCAGTCCTGCCAGAAGTCACATTCCAAACACGAGTGTCAGCAATAGGGGTGATCTAGTACGAAGGAAGCCACAGGAATTCGATGGAAAGGCACCATGGGAAGCATATAGAGCACAATTTGAGCTACTGGCAGAAATGAATGGATAGACAGAGGAGCAGAAAGCAGTATATCTGGCAACACTGGAAATACTTGGACAGTTGTCAGCAGGCGACAGGCACAACTATAGAGCACTGGTAGCTGCTCTAGAGCTCAGGTATGGAACTCAAAATCGATCCAAAGTCTACAGGACTAGGTTTAGGAGAGCCTGCAAGAGCTGGCACAGGATTTGAAAAGGATGGCACACAAGGCCTACCCAACTGTGCCACCCGATGTCCTCAAGTTGTTCCTGAGGGATCAGTTTGTAGACGCCTTGGACAGTCCACAATTGAAGACACAAGTAAAGCAAGCACACTCCTCTACTATTCAGGATGCAGTGGCCAGAGCTCTTGAATTCGGATCCTATGTTAAGTCCAGCACAGAGGTACCAAGGTTGGTACAGTCATCAGGATTCAAGGCCAGAACAGGTCAGCTTTCAAAGAGGTTTGAGGGGGCTTTGCTGGCACTGTAACAAACCTGGGCACAAGAAAGCTCAATGCTGGGAACTTCAACACAGGGAAGATGCCACAGCAGGAAAGACTGCTACCAAGAAAGGTTGTTGGAACTGTGGAGAGCAAGGACATATGAGGAGCCAGTGTAAGAAGAATACTACCAATATGTCAGCCTCGAGAAAACCAGTTGTGGTTGGTATTGAGGAACGCCCACCAACCCTCATCGTTAAAGTCCCAACAGCTAGGTGTAAAATGCCAAGCACACATGGTGTCTATGTGACAGGAAAGCTGGATGGCCAAAGGTGCAACTTTGTCATAGATTCTGCATCTCAGCAAACCCTTGTGAGTATCAAGGTGCTGGATTACAAAGGAGTACCAGAAGCCATACAAAAGCTCGGTGGTGTGACAGGACATTATGCAAGGTTGTGGGGACCAGTGTGGGTAACTATTGAGCTCATAAGCATGAAGGACAGACACAAAGTATACTTGGCTGACATTGAAGACCAATGCATATTAGGGTTGGACGACTTACTGCCGTGGAAGTGTGTAGTTAACTTCGATAAAATGACGTTTGGGAACAACAAAGTCCGAATTCCAGTAAGTGTTAAAAGGGAGGTTGAAATAACTAGGTGCTATCAAGCTGAAGTCAAAGTGACTGAAGGAGTTGATGATGGTGATTTGGAACCAGGTATAAATATTAAAGCATAGGAGGAGAAAGACCAAGATTTGAAG